CCACATTTGACCAGTGGTTGAATGGCCTAGATATAGGGGATATAGTCATCGAACCCTTGTCATGGTCAGACCATTCTCTCCATAGGCTTGACTTTCTGTCTGCTACACCGCACTGCAGGGAGGCGGAACCGATTAAGTGGTTCCGCCCCAGGCACCTGATGGATCCTGATAGATTCCAGATGGAGCTTGGGCCATTTCCTGAGACTCTAGCTCACAACTCGATTGAAGACCTGGTGGCAGCCTGGGATAGGATGGACACTGGTGCTTTGGATCGGGTTGTGCCTCTGACCCGGCGTCGAAGTCGCCCGGCTCCTTGGTTTTCTGAGGAGCTGAGGGAAATGAAGCGCCGGAAAAGATGCCTGGAGAGTAGTTGGAGAGCCAGTCGTTCCGAATCTGACCAAACACTGGTGAGGTCCTATATTAAGACCTACTTAGTGGTGATAGCAGCAGCAAAATATAACTATTTTTCCGCTATTATTGCATCGGCAGATAATTACCCAGCCGCCTTTTTTAGGGTGACTCGCTCCCTCCTCCACCTGGGAGCACGGGAAGACCCCTTACAAGGTCGAGCTGAGGATTTTGCACAATATCTGCATGATAAAATCGCTCAAATTCGGGAAGGCTTAGACTCTGACTGGGTAGGTTCAGACAGAGTGATGGAGGCGGGTCTTGAGGATGTTATTTGGGATGAGTTTGACCCTGTGATCCCTGAAGACGTGGACAGGTTACTGGGGAAGTTGAACGCAACCACATGTTTATTGGACCCTCCTGGTTGGTACTGGCTTCCCGAGAGGTTACACAAGGCTGGCTCCAGAGGATTATAAATGCTTCTCTGAGTGAGGGTTTCTTGCCTTCTGCTTTGAAAGAGGTGGTGGTGAGGCCCCTCCTCAAGGAGCCCTCTCTGGACCCAGCTGTTCTAGCAAACTACCGTCCTGTCTCCAACCTTCGCTTTGTGGCTAAGGTTGTTGAGAGTGTGGTGGCACAGCAACTCCTGCAGTACCTGGATGAAACTGTCTATCTAGATCCGTTCCAGTCTGGCTACAGGCCTGGTTACAGCACTGAAACGGCATTGGTCACATTGGATGATGATCTCTGGAGAGCTCGAGATAGGGGCTGCTCCTCTATCCTGGTTCTATTAGATCTCTCAGCAGCTTTTGACACTATCGACCATGGTATCTTGCTGCGTCGAATGGAGGGGCTGGGAGTGTGAGGCACTGTTCTACAGTGGTTCTCCTCCTATCTCTCTGACCGGTCGCAGTCTGTGTTGGCAGGAGGGCAGAGGTCAACTTCAAGACACCTTATTTGTGGGGTGCCGCAGCGGTCGGTCCTTTCACCTCTTCTGTTTAACATTTATGTGAAGCCGCTGGGTGAGCTTATCCATGGTTTTGGGGTGCAGTGCCATCTTTATGCTGATGATACTCAGCTGTACATCTCCACCCCAGACCACCCCAATGATGCCCTTGCAGTGATGTCCCAGTGCCTCGAGGCCATGCGGATCTGGATGGGGAGAAGCAGGCTCCGACTCAACCCTTCCAAGACCGAGTGGCTGTGGCTGCTGGCGTCCCGATATAGCCAGCTGATACCATCGTTGACTATTGGGGGCGAGACATTGGCCCCCATGGAGAGGGCTCGCAACTTGGGTGTCCTCCTGGACACGCGGCTGTCTTTAGAAGAGCATATGACAGTTGTGGCCAGAGGAGCTTTCTATCAGGTTCGCCTGATTCGCCAGTTGCGACCCTTTCTGGATCGGGACTCCTTATGCACAGTCACTCATGCCCTTGTCACTTCTCGACTGGACTACTGTAATGCTTTCTACATGGGGCTCCCCTTGAGGTGGTTCCCAGGGGGAGAGCCTTCTCTGTGGGGGCACCTACCCTTTGGAACAGGATACCCCCAGGGATACGAATGATCCCAGATCTCCGTACTTTCCGTCGTGCACTTAAGACCTTTCTGTTTCACCAAGCCGGGCTGGCATAAATTGTTTTCTAATTGTCTAAATTTTATGCTGAAGATCTTAACTTAACTGATGAGCCAAATTGGCTTAATTATTTTAAATTGCTTTTATTTCACATTTTTATATGTATGTTATTTTGACTGTTCACCGCCCTGAGTCCTGCGGGAGAAGGGCGGTATAAAAATTAAATAAATAAAATAAAATAAATAAAATAAAAAGGTGTGTCTTATACTCCAAAAAATACAGTAATTTTGTTTTATTGTAAAGCTGCATTAACACAATGTTGAGACTCTAGAAAGAGTGCAGAAGAGAGCAACAAATATGACTAGGGAACTCGAGGCTAAAATTTACGAAGAACAGTTGCAGGAATTCGGTATTTAATTTAATGAACAGAAGGACTAAGTATGACATGATAGCAGTGTTCCAATCTCTAAGGGACTGCCACAAAGAAGAGGGAGGTCAACCTATTCTCCAAAACAGCTGAAGGCAGGACAAGAACCAGTAGATGGAAACTAAGCAAGGAGAGAACCAACCAGAACTAAGGATAAATTTCTTAATAGTTAGAATGATTAATCAGTGGAATGACTTGCCTCTAGAAGTTGTGAGGGTTCCAATGCTGGAGGCTTTTAAGAGGCGATTGGACAATCATTTGTCTGAAATAGTATAGAGTTTTCTGCTTGAGCAAGGGATTGAACTAGAAGATCTCCAAGGTCACTTCTAACTCTGTTATTCTGTTAAGTCTGAAAGTACAATTCACCTGCCTATATAGCCTGAGAAACCAGAGTGGGTTGCTTCTGACCACTTGCCTCACCTCCTGTTCAGTTGTAGGCTGTTTATTTTTATTTATTTTATTAGTCATATTTCTATGCCGCCCACTCTCCAAGGACTCTGGGTGGTTTACACCAAAGTCAGTATACTAAATAGCATATTTCCCCGTAACAATCTGGGTCCTCATTTTACCCACCTCGGAAGGATGGAAGGCTGAGTCAACCTTGAGCCGGTGAGATTTGATCCGCTGATCTGCTGAACTAGCAGTCAGCTGAAGTAGCTGCAGTACTGCACTCTTAACCACTGCGCCACCTCGGCTCTTGCAATAATGTTGTCTCTTATCTGACCATTCCCTAGGAGGCATCTCTTTGTTTTATCTCCCAAGGTCTTTCTCACATATCCTCACATAACACCACATAATCATGTCCTATACTTAGTCAAATTCATAGTGGAATTTACAACTCCTGCGCTTTAGCCATCTGTCATTTTATCTGAATATTCCCCATTACTAAGGGTTATGTAGGTTATATATATATGAGGACACATATTCTGGGAAATGTAAATAGTGTGTGTGTGTGTATGTGCGCACACACAAACTTTAGCTAACAAGCTATATTTACCAGAATATGTATACCGTTAGAGAATGTCTAAAACTAAGCAAATTCATGACTACTTGACTTGGCAATTTCATCTGACATTAGTAACTTTACTTTTTACTAGCTCAGTGTTTTGTTTTGTGTTTGCATTGTATGTGGTCTAATAACATTGAAGAGCTTTGGTGTTCTATGAGAATGTTGACTGGCAGCAGTTTTTAAAGCCTGCTGAAATAATGGATAGTGCCAAGGTAACAAAAGGATAAATACTCAAATAATGATACTGGGTTGTTTCCAAAATGATGGCCATTTGTATAGTTTTCACAATTTTGGGATGAATTATTTGTTATTCAACTTTTTAATATTTTGTATTCAGGAAACATTTTCAGCATAGTATAATGCAATGCAATACTAACTTGAAGTTTTCCGTTAGAACACTCATTAGAATACGAAGTATTAAGTATAGACTTAGATGACTAAAAACTTAATATGTATCTTCTGTCAAAACAAATATTTAAAGACAAAGTATATAAATGCTTAATGAACTAAAATGTATGAAAAGACCTATTCCATTGATAAGAATTAAGAAACTGTATGTTAATACTAAGTAGGATTTCAACGTATTTCATTGTCTCTTATTCACATTTTATCTTGGAAATGCAAGATGTGTATCTTAAACTTTTTTTTAATTTAGGTAAGTATCATAAATTCAACTGTCTAGAAAGAAAGAAATAATATGTAATGAAGCATAACATTTATGTTATTTTATAATCGGGAAGGAAAAAGAAACTAAACAAAACTTCATCTGTAACATTCTCACAGAGGAACCAGAATAAAGAGTTTTCAGAGAAAAAACATCCTACAGAGTTTCTGTAAATCCTGGAACATACAGTACAGTACTGGATGATCTCTCTATGTAATCCTGACATTAAATGAAGTTTCCATACCAAAATTAATTCTTTCCTAGATGCATTCACAAAAAAGTAATCCTATACGGCTTTTCAGTAACACCAAAGAGCTAATTGAAAATGACTACCTATTTGATGTGCTGCCATGAATGGTGTCTTTCACTGCAGCAGCATAAAAATACGATAGACCAATCAATAAATAAAATTGTATAAATTAGTTGATGCTTTATATATTTTTTTCAGTTGTAGAAGTTATGCATATTGTATGCAATTGTTCTGCATATTGTAGAGTATATTGTTTAGTAACCTTTACAGAAAAATGTATAATTATAATTTTCTTTATTTAGCAAATAAAAACTGAAAGTAAAACAACTTATTATGTTGCAACTTATTCCATTACAGTACAATGGCTTATACTGGAAGGGGCAATGTCAGCCCCAGTACAGGTAGGCTTCAACTTACAACCACAATTGAGCCCAAAATTTTATGTTGCTAAGTGAGAAATTTGTTAAGTAAGTTTTGCCCCATTTTATGACTTTTCTTGCCACATTTGTTAATTGAATCATTGCAGTTGTTAAATTAGTAATACAGTTGTTAAGTGAATCTGGTTTCCCCATTGACTTTACCTGTCAAAAGGTTGCAAAAAGTGTTCACATGACCCCGGGACACTGCAACCATCATAAATGTGAGTCAATTGTCAGGCATCCAAATGTAAATCACATGACCATGGGGGTGCTGCAACAGTCATAAGTGTGAAAAATTGTTACTTTTTTTCAGTGCTGTTGTAACTTCGAACAATCTCTAAGCAAACTGTTGTACGTTGAGGACTACCTTTATTTTGGATTGCCTTTGCTCTTCATAGCTATCCCTTGCAGGTAAGGCTGCACTACCCAGCGTTTTATAGACTAAACATGATAGTCCTCATGTCTCCATCAGCATTCAGTGACATCTAAACAATATCAACTCATATTCCTGCTTTAGTAAATCTCTGATCTCAGGATCCCAATGATATTCATGCTTTCCCTTTCCAGATAATTACTTCATAAATGCGCCTTCTTTTCCTATTTTTGAACAACTTCTTTTTACAATTTAATATCTACTTTTCTTCTACTTTCAAATCTGCCTGAAATTCCTAACATTTTTAAAAATATTAATCTCCTCAGCGTGCATTTACAATGGGGATTTTATAATTGTCTATTAGAAGAAGCCTTTACTGAGTTCTGCTTTCTGAATTAAATACATTGATTTCCTATAAAATTCTTGTTCTAGAATCAGCTTGCATAAAGATTTTATGAATCCAAAACTGAAAACAGATCTTACTGAGGAAATATGTGGCTGTTCAGAAATATTAGTGGTACAATACATTTTCAAATAGATAGTCAGTTTTGTGTAGTGATTAAAGCATCAAGCTGGAAATCAGAAGATCTTGAGTTCTAGTCCCACCTGAGGCATGAAGTTACCTGGGTGATCTTGGGCCAGTCACTTTCTCTCAACCCTACAAAGGAGACAAATTTCTCCAGACAGTATCTGAGGATCCGACACAATTGAGGAAGTGGTGGGTTGCTCCTGGTTCGCACCAGTTCGCAAGAACCAGTAGTAAAAATTTTTAGTAGTTCAGAGAACTGGTAATAACATTGGCTGGCCACGCCCCCGAACTAGTCCCCGGCCTGGTCGCTGCTCGCTTACAGTGCCCACCTCATCAGAGGCTCTTTTTTATTATTTTAAAGGCATTTTTTCTACAACCTCTTCGGCTGAAAAAATGCTTTTAAAAGTTAAAAAAAAAAGCCTCTGATGATCGCGCAGCTCAGCTGGGATCTCAGAAGCTTCTAAAAAGTCCAAAGAGGTTGTAGGAAAAAAAATGCCTTTAAAAGCCTCTGGCAATCCCAGCTGACTTGCCTGATCGTCAGAAGCTTCTAAAACAGCAGTTCTCAACCTGTGGGTCGCGACCCCTTTGGGGGTCAAACAACCCTTTCACAGGGGTCGCCTAAGACCATCAGAAAACACATATTTTAGATGGTCTTAGGAACTGAGACACCGCTCCTCTATCTGTCTCAGATCAGCTGGCCTTAACATTTTAGTGCGCATGGTACTGGCCATGCCATCATTGCCCGCATGCAGCCCTGGGACTCCACCCTTTGCCAGCCAGGAGCGCTGCCGCCAGTCGCCCTCTGCACCGGGCTGCCTGCCTGCCTCATCACCGCCACCATGAGGAAAGGTCCTGAAGTTGCACTGCCTGGGATCCATGTGAGCTGCTGCAAGGAGAGGCCAGGTATGGCTGGCTGGACGCTGCCCGGAGCTGAGCTCGAGGCTGGCAGGAGGAGGAACGTTAGCTCTTAGCTGGCTTGAATTGTCTGCTGCCGCAGCCTGCCACCATCCCCTCTCCACTGCCAGCTGCCACTGCCAGGGAAGCGGCTGTGCGAGAACCGCTGCTGCCAAGGGCGAGTGGGCGATGGTGGCAAGGATGGGCAGTCCGGGGCTTCCTTGTCTCTTTGCCCGAGCAGACTTCTGGCATAGCCCCAGGCCTCCGGAGGGAAGGAGGGAAGCCCTGGACTGCTGCTCCTGCTGCCGCCACCCCCTTGCAAGAGCAGTTCTTGTGCTGCCGCTTCTCCAGCAGCCCAGGAGCAACTGCTGGGGCAGAGAGTGGGGCAGGCTGTGGTGGCAGGCCGTTCTCGCCGGGTAACAGACAGGCTGTTCCTGGAGCAGGCAGGAGAAGGAGAAGCCACCAGCGGGGAGGTGAGCTGCCCCAGGAGGACTGGAGGAGAACGCAGCTCCTCATTCATGGAGATCTACCAGCAGAGAAGTGGTCACAGAAAGCGGTAAGAAATGCATGAGCCAGGAAGTGGTCATGCTTCCTGGCAGGAGAGGGTTGCATGTTCACTCCAGCAAAGGTTTGTGCAACCCTCTCTGGCCAGGGAGCATGACCGCTTCCTGGCCAATGCACCTCTTACTGCGCCCACTTCCCCACTGGTAGATCTCCATGAGTGAGAAGCTGCACTCTCCTCAGGTCCTCCTGGGGCGGCTCAACTCCCCGCTGGCAGCTTCTCCTTCTCCTGGCTGCTCCAGGAGCATCCTGAGACTCTGCTTGCCTTGGCAAAGTGCTTCATCATTGCAGCGCAGGGGACATGCACTGCGCCAGGGGATCCGTGCAACTACTATCCCACCTCTCCTCGGCCATGCCGCGAGGCTCGAACTCAAGGAGGAGAAGATGGAGGAAGAGGGGGTGGGAAGTCCAAACTGCAGCTACCTTGAGCAAGCCACAGTGCTATTACGTAGGACTCCAAGTGGTTGGAGAAGTGGCAGAAACAGCAGCCAGGGTTGCGCTTTCAGTGGGTAAGCAATGCTGCCTCTGCCGCGAGGAACTTTGGAGAGAGAGGGCAAGGGCAGGCTGTGGCCATTCTCGCCAGCTAAGAGACAGGCTGCTCCCACAGCCTGCCCCTGCCCTCTCTCTCCAAAGTTCCTCATGGCAGAGGCAGCGTTGCTTACCCGCTGAAAGTGCAGCCCTGGCTGCTGTTTCTGCCTCTTCTCCAACCACTCGGAGCCCTGCATAATAGTGCTGCGGCTTGCTCGAGGTAGTTTGGACTTCCCCCACCCCACTCTTCCTCCGTCTTCTTCTCCTTGAGTTGGAGCCTTGCAGCGTGACCGAAGCTGAGGAGGGGTGGGATAGTAGCTGCACGGATCCCCCGGCGCCGCCCGTGTCCCCTGCCCTGCAATAATGAAGTGCTTTGCCAAGGAAAGAAGAGTCTCTCGGCCAGGCGGGAGGCGAGATCTGGCATCGCAGGCATCGGAGACTGTGACAGCCTGGCAAGCCCATTCTCTCTTGGCTGCTTGGAAAAAACAGCGAGAAAACAGAGGATGAGGAAGTTGGGAAGCCATGAAACAGGACTGAGGGAAGGGAGGGAACGGATAATTCAAGCAGTATATTGGTCTTTCCATACAATGGAAGGAGCAGCAGACTGGGGCTTCAATCCCTTCCCCCGGAGGCCTGGGCCTCTCTCGGCACACTCAGCCTTGTATGCGTGTTTTCCTTCTGCTTCGGAAAATATGATACCCCCCTTTTCTAGCAGCTGCTAAGTCATGTCCCAAAGTTGCTCTTTTTCCCCAAGAGGCAACTGGAGTTCCTTGTTTTTTCTTTGAAGACGTTTTGGCTTCTCATCCACCAAGAAACTCTGACTAGAGATGGTGGGGAATGGAAGGATTTATATTCATTGCAAGGCCTCAAAACCAGAGCTGTGTTCGTAGATGACACAAGAAGGATGGGAGAAGCAGAAAAATTATGAGCAACTCACTCCTACCAATGCATGCTGACCTTCCTCATTTATTACATATTGTTTTTGTGATTAATCACTATGCTTTAATTATATTCAATTTGTAACAATGAAAATACATCCTGCATATCAGATATTTACATTACAATTCATAACAGTAGCAAAATTACAGTTATGAAGTAGCAACGAAAATAATTTTATGGTTGGGGGTCACTACAACATGAGGAACTGTATTAAAGGTCGTGGCATTAGGAAGGTTGAGAACTACTGTTCTAAAAGCATTTTAGGGAAAAAATGCCTTTAAAAGCCTCTGGCGATCCCAGCTGATTTGCCTGATTGTCAGAGGCTTCTAAAAGCATTTTTTTCTGCAACCTCTTAAGTTTGTAGAAAAAATGCTTTTAAAAGTAAAAAAAAAAAAAAAAGTTGGCCATGCCCACCCAGTACATTCCCCCCCTACAAGCCATGCCCACAAAATAAGCCACGCCCACAGAACCAGTAGTAAAAAATTTTAGAACCCACCACTGAATTGAAGAGAAGAAGAAAGATCAAATTTGTATTGGATTGAAATGTTGCCTGGCAGATAGAGGATCTGTTTCAAAAAATATGATTTTTCTTAAAAGCATACTTAATTGCATGTAGATTCTGCTTTCTGTCCAGTTTATGGAAGTATATCTTTTTCTTTCCTCCTCCAATTTTAATTATATGAATGTCACAACTTTCTAGAAAAGCAGAAAAAGAGTGAAGACCCAGATATTCTGCAGGGCTAGAGCCAGGGTATTAATGGGGCCACCATAGTTTGCTTAATGTAGGTAGGAATATTAATAGTACGAAGGATATAACGTGCTGTTCATAAATCATATAAAGTATATATACACTATGGTTAATATGATTTTGGAGGAGAAATAATGTTTAAGGATGGTAATGTAGAGACTGATCAATATGATTATAACATGATGTAAAAAAATGAGAACCTTTTACATATTAATCCAGTATTCTGATCTATGTCTTATTGTTTGGAGAATGCCTTTGTTCTTTTCTTCTGTATTCTATTACAGTTATATCATTTTGTCTTTTTATTTCCCTTTCTGAATAATATTTTTTAAAAGGAACAAAAAGTGTGAAAATAAAGAAATATAATATTCTTAGAAAATAAAAGATACCCTGATGGACCCTGTGAAATAGAAAACTTCATTCCTGTAAGTAGGCATATTTACATAGTTTGGGTTGGGGCTTTTTTTTTTTTTTTTTTGGTATACTGTCAAATAGAAGCAACTTGTGTTGTCTAGTCATTCTTAATACCATGTCATGGTTAAACAAAGTATTAATTATTTATAAACTGGTCCTCTGAGTAAATGTAAATGAGACAGAAATGATGATGCCTAAAATAATAACAGAGTAAAACCTATAAAAAATACAATTTCATACTCAGAAATAATTCCTAAATATTTTGTCTTCTTTTTGAAGAGGACTCAAAATTTCTCTCTCCATTTAGGAAAGAGCTGGGGACTAATTCCCTGAACCAAAGCCATCCCTCATGTAGTGTTCTGTCTGGGACATGGGAATATGTATTCTTTTTCAGCTAATAAGAAGGAAAATTAAGTTAATTTTTAGAAGGTTCCTTGCTGTTTTCCAGAGTGCTGTTCGGATAATCCATGCATGAGTCATCACTTGTCTATTTGCCAGAGACTGAGTGTAGATTTTTTTCAAAGTGTTTAGCCACGCCTCCTTGCTCGTTGAGCTTCAGTCTTTTTCACTCAGTCTGCTATAGAGACGTGAATTTGCTTTCTTTGACCCTTAAGACTGTTAGATACCTTGCATTGGATTATTCAGGACTTTTGGTTTTTTTGGTTCATTCTCTTTGGAAGCCCCCCCCCCCCCGCAAATCCGGATAGAGGCTGTGTTACAGAGTTGTGTTCCTTTCTAGGGCATCTCCACTATTTGAATTTGCCGCCGGTGGATGAGCTGGTTTCCCAGTCTGCCGGCACAACCGCCACCACCATCACCACTCCGATATCATAAGGTGGCTCCGGAGTCACTGCATGGGGACCCGTGGCAAACTCTGAAAACCAGGATTGAGCTTCACAGCACTGGGAGGGCTAAGATTAGCTTTCACGCCATTTATTCTTTGCAGCAAGCCACGGTGGTGCAGGAGAGCATTTTTCACACTCGCGCCCACCATTTTGTTTCTTGTATCAACTACGGCGGCTCTTGGAGACGCCCTGCTGTCTCGCGCTTCGAGCTGCACACAGGAGTGGTTTTGTTGGTGAAGCGGCGCTTAAGGGGTCAGGTTTGATTCCTGCACCTGGTTCTTGGTATTACTGTGGCCTGAGCTGGTGCTGGAAGAGCTTGTGAGACATTGCATCGCCATTCCCAGCAGTTTGGACGTAGCATTGAGGAGAACATCTTTCAACTCGTCACTGCCAGGCCTGTATTACTTGCTTCTGAGTCCAGTATCTGTCCCAGTACTGGCAATTGTGAGACTGGTCTTTCTGGGGGCAGCTTTAATGCTTCCTTAGCGAGGACCTTTTGGCAAAAGGCTTTCTGGCCTTTTGTTGAACTGAAGTGCTTCATTGCCTTCTACCCTTAGGCCTGTCAGCAGCCTTATTACACCTGTGGATATCATGGCTGATTCGGCTCTGTCTTCTGACATTGAGCAACCTGCTAGCCCTCACAAGGCCCATAGATCAAAATACTCTGGATCCAAAAGGGCTAAGGTGACCACCAGGAGTAAATCAGCTAAGCCTAGGCCCTCTTCATCTGGGTCTTCTAAAAGACCTGCTGTGATGGACAAGGATGCACTTAGATGTCACAAAGCTTTAGAAAGGCAATTTGATAAGGCACATCGCACTGCCCAGGCTGCAGAGCATAAGCGAGTTTCTCCCACTGATGCCAATTTGTCTGATTAGACTGATAGTGTCCCTTTAACACAAGGCATGACTGAAGGGCTCCAAGTCTTAGCTCCGACTGAGGCTGGCATTTGCCCACAGCCTCTGATTGAAGTCTCATACAGGGACCCATTTGCAGCCCAGAGCATGGCGACACATGTTCCATCGACAGCCAGCAGCCAGGCAGCAGGTTCCAGAAGCTACATTCACCCCAACCGCAGCGGGGCTCCATGCAGGGGAGGGGCAGGCGCTTGCCCAGCCAATGGACATTCAGGTTCTGATTTCTGAGTCCCTTTCCAAAATGTTGGTGGCTGGGATTCAGCAGGGTAGCCAGATACCACTCATGGCTCCCAATCTAAGGCTACAAATGTCAGCACATTTGGCTGACAGGACTGATTCTCTCTCTCAGCAGGATTCCTCACACAGTGACGATTCCGTGCTGGAAGATGATTATCCAGAGGATTTGGAATTTTCTGAGAATGAGGGATTGCTGCCAGATAGGCCAGTGTTTACAGGCCTCTTCCGTCCCTCGGTCTTCAAACCCCTGCTCCATAAAGCTAAACTGACTACCAATATTGGAGTGGTTGAGGGTTCTATTGAACAACCTCAAGGATCTACGAATCCTCATGATGATCTGTTTAGGATACCAAAATCTGACCAGGAGTTTATTCATTGTCCAAAGCTGTTTTCTGAGGTGGTTCAAAGGCCATGGGTTCAGCCTGGTTCCCTGGCCGCCCCTAGTGGACATGATAAAAAACTTTATTGCCCTGCTCCAGACCTGGAGGAACTGTTGCAATTGCCCTCTGTAGATGCCCCAGTGGCTAGTCTCACATCCTCCACTGTCCTTTCCAACAACATAATGGACAGTCTTAAGACTGAGGTCAGGAAGGCCGAACTTTCCTTTTGAAAGACACACCAAGCGGCCACTTGGGTCATTAGGGCCACAACATCACCCTTTTAAACGGAGGTCCCTGATATGGCTTCACCAATTACAGGAGCGGCTACCACTGGAGGATACTAGGCTACACTAGGACATTAAGAATCTGGTAGCTGCCACCAAGTATTTGATCTGACACATCCTTGGATGCGGCGAAATTTGCCTCTTGGGCCTTAGATTCTACCGTAACTTCTCACCATTTCCTATGGCTATGCAATTGGAGAGTAGATATGAAGTCGAAGTGGAAACTCGCTTCGGCTCCTTACAAAGGGTCGGTGCTTTTTGGAGAGGTGCTAGATCCGATACTCATTGAGAACAAGGACAAACGGAAGGTTTTACCCTCCTCTTACAGGAGACCAGATCGCAGATATTCTCTGTACTCGCAAAGGCAGCCCTTTCAACCTGATTTAGGACCCAGCAGGTCCTATTCCCAGCGTCCCTATTCTCAGGGATTTGATCAGCTTACTGACAGACAGACCTTCAGGGATCGTGGCGGATGCCAGCCTTCAGCAAAGAGGCCCTTTCGAGGTACTTGTTACCAGTCCTTCCGAAGGGGCAAGTGACTCCCGGACGGCTGTTCTCATTGATGGTCATCTTCATTTGTTCCATCCTTAATGGGAGCTATCTACAACCAATGCTTGGGTTCTCCAGACAGTGGGGTTCGGCCTCACCTTGGAATTGTGCTCCAGCCCTCCCGACCATTACCTCCAGTGCCCGGTCTCTCAGAACCTTTTAAAAAAAGAACTCATGGATGCCGAGATTCGACATCTCTTGGACATTCGAGCTATTGAGGTGGTACCACTCAGCCAAGAAAGAACCGGGTTCTAGTCCATCCTGTTCCTGGTACCCAAGAGTTTGGGGGGCTGGAGACAGATCTTAAATCTCAAACAACTCAATTGTTACATCTTGTACAGGCGATTCAAGATGCAATCCCTGCGATCAATCTTGGGATGCATCAGGCAGGCCGACCTCTTGCAATTGGTGGACCTCAAGGAAGCTTACTTGCATGTTCTGATCCACCCAACACATTTCAAGTATCTCCGCTTCACATATGCCAATCACCATTTCCAATATCGGGCCATGCCCTTCGGTCTCTTGTCGGTCCCGAGGACATTCACCAAATTGTTAGCGGCAGTGGCGGTGATTGTCAAAATGATTCCAGTACGCATACTTTGCTACTTGGACGACATTTTGATTCTGTCGTCCTCCCAGTCGCAGGCAGTTCAGGACAGCGAAACAGTGATTCACACTCTTCAAAACACGAGTTCTCCCTCAACTTGAAGAAGAGCCACCTGCAACCAATGACCTGCATTCTTCACCCGGGGGTGGTGATCGACTTGATCGAGGGCCAAGTGTATCAGTCACCCAATCGCCAATTCAGTCTCAGACAGTTGGTGACATAAATTACATCCCAACGGATGGTTCCCTTGCTCCTGCTGTTGCAGTTGCTCAGGAAAATGATTTTGTGTATTTCAATCGTGCCCTGGGCATGACAGCATGCTCGCCCACTACAATGTTTTTTACTGCCATTCCAGAGATTGGGGCTCAGCAACTCCAAGGCCAAAGTGACCATTCCGCCAAAGGTCCGCCTTTCCTTGAGATGGTGGAGTCTGTGGCCCTCCAAAAAGGGTGTGTGTTCCAGGAACCTGAATGTGTCACGGTGACCTTGGATGCGAGCCTTTTTGGCTGGGATGCGCACCTATGTTCTCAGGTGGCTCAGGGACGGTGGTCCCCAGCGAAGCATAAGAACAGCATAAATTGGCTAGAGTTGAAGGCGGTCCACCTTGCTCTCAGATGCTTTCAGGCCACAGTGACAGATCAGCATGTATTTTTTTTTTTATTGCAAAAGTTTTACAATTACATTTTCACCCCTTTTTTTCACCCCCCCACCTCCCTCCCCAAACTTCCCGTCCTCCCTAACCCTCCCTAACCCTCCCCCCCCAGACTTCCCTATTATGTACTCATAACTAATAACACTGATATATAAACCTGAACCCATCCCTCCCCCTATATAATTTTTCCTCTTTGTCTCTTTACATTAAGATATTTCTAATACATTATTTTCAAATAAAAGCTATTTGATACTTTCTAGTTTGGTATTTGTTCTGAACATATTCTATCCACCTTTTCCATTCCCATTCATAAGTCTCTTGTGAACAATCTTTTAAATATGCTGAGATCTTCGCCATCTCTGCAAAGCTTGCCATCTTCAAAGTCCATTCCTCGATAGTAGGCAAAACTTCATTCTTCCAATATTTACCTATCAACAATCTTGCTGCTGTTATCATATACAATATTAGTTTTATTTCACCCCGTGTAAAACCCTTAACTATACCCAATAAAAACAATTGTGGAGAAAATTGAATTTTTTTCT